GTAAAAGTTAAATTCAAGTAAACATCAGCTGTGGTATGTATATCAGCACAAGTGCAAAGTGCAAGGTTTAAAAAAATACAATAAAACACGAGGACGTCATTAAAATCAGTAACCGAGCTACTAAAATAATATTTCTACTCTTATATTTGGTTTCAAATAGCTGCAATAATTCTGAATGGGGACAGAAGGGTCATGCACAGCATTGCTTAAGTCAGATGCAGATTGTTTTTAAAAAAATCCAGGCTTGCTGCTGACTTGATACACAAGAATGATGTGGGCACTGAGAAGTAAAACGTTTGATTGTGGGAAAGCTGGTGTTGTGTCAGCTGATGTTGGCTAAAAGATTTATGATACCCAATTAAACTGAACTTATTTTGTAGCTGCATTTTGAGTGTTTGCAGCAAACTATATTGCAGCTTTCACACTAAAATTAGACATGCTGTCTTTACTTAAAAATTAAACACTTGAACACAAATGACCTTACTTTACTTCATTTAAGTTTAATGCACATTACACAATATTATTTTAGCTAATTTTGTTACAAATGAACTGTTGCTGTGAATATCCTTGATCTTTTTTAAGTTAAGACTACTTGTAGACAATGAAGTGTTTAATGGACAGAGCTCAGTTTTTGCCGCATCTTACATGAATTCTGTTTTTATGGACATTTGAATTAGAAGTCTATGAAGGGAACTGACCCAGAGTCATGGTGGCCTTTTAAACCTTTCAGGTTTTTGGCCACGCTACGGCTGGAAATCATATCAGACATCCACAAGAATCTGAACGTCTAAACATAGCAAAACTTAAATAATGATCACAACATCAGTAAAGAGTCTGAAATTAGACATGATCAGATCCATGAATGAAAAAATGTTGCCTTATTTAGAAAAAGCAGTCCAGATAATTAAATGAAACAAGAACAGTGCAAATTAAGTAAACTATAAAACTTGTAAATAGTTGTTTTTACCAGTAGGAGAAGCACTGGTGTCAGGTACACGGGACGTTACCTTTTACCTATTGTAGTATAGGTCTATAATAGAGAGTAAATTATTGTTCTTCCTACCTCTGTTGCTTGATAATCCCACAGTACTTTATGTGATGAAGGCTACTCGTTAAACCTGGACAGGCTGACGATGGCAGCTGTATATTTTACTTACGTGCTATCGAGTTTCACTTCCTTCCACTTTAAAGTGGCGAAACCTTCTGATGACTGACAGGGTTTAAAAACTCCTTTGTTTCTTAACAGATCGTTGGCCATTAAAGTGTCCAGGAACTTCCCAGGGTCCTCCTCAGTCTGAACTTCCAGAATTGAGTGCTGTAAAAATGTAAAAGTTGTGTGCCTTCTCTCTGCATTGATTTGGCTTCTGTTTGCCCCTGTTTTTGGACTTGTTTCCTGGACTGCTTGCAACCTGAATAAAGGTTTGCCACGTGTTGCCGTCATCCTGCCGTATCCTTTTTCTCACAGTCTACCTAAACTGCAGTTTGTGACAATATGGCCAGGCTTCTCCTTCTGCAGCAAATTTGCTGAGACCTTACTGCAGCAGTCAGCCTCTCGAATCATCTGATCAGAAGCTACTGACTGTTCTGCTTTCATTTTGAATCTGTTAAACTTTCATTCACTTTAACCTCCTAAGACCCGAACTCTTTCATGGCATGCATTTTTAATTTCTCTTTGCTATTTGGGCTGATTGGGACCTGATGAATGTAAAAACAAAGAATTACGTGATTTTTTTTTTTGTCTGGTTTTATTCAAATTATGAGGAAGTACTTAAAGTATAACACAAATAGTTCTTTTTTAAAAATAGTATTTATAAATGCTAATTAAATACAATATTCATAGAAATCTGGGGTAATATTTTGTCTTTGGAAAGCTTTCCTGAAAATATTCACATATTCAGTTTGTCTGCTGCTGCCAGGCATAGACTGTAATTGCAATAATAAGTGTGCAACCTATTTTCAGACAGCTCATTCAGTGCTCACATTTCCCTCAAGAAAATAAAAGTACTAGGATAAATATTCCTCTTTTGGGACAACACAAAATATTTTGTGTTTACTTCAGTTATTTTTAATGTCTGCTGTCCTTAATTAAAAACAGTATATATATACACACACAACCATAATGAACAAACAGACACTAAGATGAGTTGTTATTTAAGTGATAGCTTTTATTTCACAGGTTTATTATTTTTAAATTATGACATAGCTTATATTTTTGAAGACGGTTGTGGTATATTTTCAGGTCTGTTTACCTCACTGCCTCTTTTCAGTTTCATTTTTATTGTGTTTATACAAAACAACCATAGCGTGTGTTGATATTTAGGAAAATCCATTCTTTCCTCGACGAATGCTGTGATTCTTGTAACACTGGCTGCCGGACACTTCCTAAAAATTTAAAGTTACTTTACTTTCTTCAGGTCAATTTCTGGAGCAGTTCAAGCTTAGAGTTCAATGGTGACGTCGAGTGCAGAAGAGGAAATGGCTGAGGGGCATCATGTGGTAGAGCTGAGAGCTTCAGTTCACAGATACTGAGGGGATGTTGTGGTTTCAACTGTAAAAAGAACTAAGGCACAAAACATGCTTTTAAATGCAACAGTAACATGTTGTGCCCGCCCTGATTTTTAGATTTAATGCAGAATAAAGTCAGAAATTCGGAACTTTGAAATGACCACATCACAAACACAAAGCTCAGATTTTGTAAATGGGAACTGTGTGATGTTTGTCTTCATTGCACAATGACTCATACCATTGCATAATGGTTGGGCTGTGCTGGGACTTGCAGGTACCAGCTGCAGGAGCTACAGCTGAGCTAGTTTAGATACTTGGACGTTTATTTTAAAGCATTATTTCAATTAACTGCAATGTTGGTGGTCACAGGACACAAAAATTGCATGTATGGAATCTCCAGGCAAATCTGATCAAAACTGCTTAAAACGTTTGGTGACTTTCATCTGAAATAAGGATTGGAAGGATTTGATTTGTATTACACCTGCTGAATTACTCATGCATTTAAATTCAGGATTGTTTGAGTGCCACGTCTCGCTCTTATAATGTCTGTGACCTGAACACAGTGTACTGTGCTTTATAAAAGCTCCCTCATTGTGCTGTCTGGCTCTCACAAACCTCTTCTATGCTCAGCAGTGTGCGTCTGCTACATATGCATATAAGCCTGAAATAACTGATATGCTGGCTTGTTACTGATGATTTTTGTAAAGTAAGTGCATTACTTAGTGGCAGTCTTTAAGTCAGCCTACGGCAGTAATACAAATCCAATTATTGTTTCTTTTAGGACTTTAAATATAAATGTGATAAAGCCATACAGCTGAGTAGACACTCTGGTTCATAGGTTGCCTTAAATTGCCTTAAATTTCATTTAACTTATTATAGTTTTGTATTTTTTAATTGGTTTTTAATTTTATTTTCACTTTGTTTTTAATTCAGTTTAAGTTCCAGGGTAGTTTTCCTGTTTCAAGTTAGTTTTTATTGTCACAAAATGTTTAGTTTTATTCGTGCAAGTTTTTCTTTTTAATTATATTACGGAGGGCAAATGTCAGAAGTAAGATTTGGGAGCATCAGTACAGGTATTAAAGTAAGAACACAGAACCTTTTGAAAGCTGATGACTCATAGTCTTGGAGACATCTAGAAACTCAATAAACACGTGCCTCAGCAGGCTTGTTGTAACACAGTTTTTACCAAAGTAACAGATCCTAAAGCTATACGTGTCCTATAAAATGTTTTTTCACATCTAATTATTTTTAGCTAACTACATTAACCTTGCTCTGGGGAACCCTTCCAAACAAGAACCACACTTGTTCAGCTTTTTCTGATCGGACCATCATGAACTGTAATATGTAACATGCTAACTGAGGCCTCTAGTCTCTTAGATTTCAAGTTTCTCAGAGCATTGCAGAGTCAGTCCTTGGGCAGGACCTCGTTGGGACATTTCACTTCTAGGAAGATTGGCAAATGTCTTGACCGTATTCCCACTTGTGAATAATCTCTCACTGTAAAATGTAAAATTACAGACTTTTTTGGGGACATTGCCTTTATGCATTTTCCCTGCTAGCTCAAATCACATAAATATCTTCTGTGTTTACCTGGTTTCAGTCATGAGAGTTGGACCATGAAGTGTATCTGAAATCGTGCTACTTTTATGCATTTTGTTTGCTGAAATGTGATGTCGTTTTCAAATCTGCTTCAGTAGCTCAGATGCATTTTAGTAGCAATTTTGCATATTTTCAAAATGGTGCATTCTTCTGCACCTTAAGGACATCACCATTGTGGATGTTTTTCATCATGTTTAGGAATTATTTGTTATTGGGAGATGACAACAAACAAGAACAGCCAACGATGGCTTAAGATTAGTTACCAAACACCTTCCTCTGCTTACTTTACATTAATTATTAAAGAACAAGTAATGCCTCTCCTTCTGTTTATAAGATAGAGGAAACTTGGATGAGTGACGAAACGTTTCTCCCACTGAAAACGCTACGTCCACATGAACAGTATCAACTTTTGGAGATTCCTCTCCTTCTGTTCATATGGAGATGACATGTCCAATGTAACTCCTGAAATCTACACATATGCCTAAGCAGGCACCACAGTCAAGCTCCACAAACAAGGAGACACATTTCTGACAACTTAAACCAAAACAAAAATATATATACACAAAACAGACACGGACAAAACATCTGTCACACATATTTATTGTAAAAAATACATATAAAAACAATTTTTGAGACATACAAAAGATCGGAGCTTAGAAACAGTATATTGAACAGACAAGGACCAAGCAATTTTCTTGAATTGTATTACATATTTACAATTTAATAAATAAAACTCAATTTGTTTGTTTTATACCAGAGTAAAGGCAGATTGTCCATATCTTGGGGATGCAGATACCGCTGTGGTGACAGTTTAAACATCGGTCTGTAATCACAGGGCAGGCAGGGAAATGGCACCCTGTGATTCGAAACCAAAGACTTGAGAATATTTATACAAAATACATCCTTGGTTGGAGACGGGCTAGTTTGCACACCGAGCATTTAGCTAGCATTGGTAAAAATTTGAGGTATTGCACCGCACAGCTTAGAGGGGGTTAAGGAAGTAAATCAAGAGTAACGTGGCGGTTTTGGATTGTCTGTAATCTTTATTGACAACCCAACTGCCACCAACACCCCTCTGAACACACACACACACACACACTCACACAAACACCCCCCCTTAAAACCCTCCCAGCCAAAGTATACAATATCATAACTTATCACCACAACAAATGTAATCTGAACATCTAAATGATCAATGCGCCTCCTCTTCTGCCCCGTCCCCCGCAACAACACAGACCTAAATGCACAAACTATTTTTGGCTTTATTTTTCTTTTCTCCGATACAAAATAAGAGAAACATGCACAGGGCTGCCCTCTAATGACGGGACAGGTTATAGCACCGCAGACTGCAGAACATTGGGGTGGGGGAGACATAAAAGACCAACAGAGGCTGGGGTGAACAAACCTGTGAGCGTGGCTCACCTCTTGGCCAACCTCTAAACCGCCCCACACCACTGCAGCGCTGAAAGGTAAACACCTTTAGAGCAGGCAGCAAAAGCAATCAGTTACAATATATTTTTTGTTCTTTCTGCTAGAGTTTCCACTGGCCTACGTACAACCTGTATCAGGCAGCATCTGTTGAGCAGCCTTACTGTTTGGGCTTCCACTTCAGCTCAGCCCCCAAAAACGACACCACAAATACCTCTTTGCACAAGAACCCCTTCACCAGGCAAAAGGCAATCAACACACACACACACAAAAAGAAAGGCCAAGGATAGCCATTTAACACATTTAGCAATAAACATGAGCACTGTGATAATAAAATAGCCTAAATAAAACAAACAAACAAGGGGAATGGGAGGGGGGGGCTGCTTATGTAATAATTAACCATCAGCTGTCCGTAGCCTCCAGTGTTATGGATCGAGGCAGATACCACATGGTGTACACTTGCTCCAAAAATACATCTGTCCCTTTATCTCCCCTCGATCTGGCACTTGTGTAACCAGATGGCGAAACTGTTGCGTGGTCCAAAAGCGGAGAAAAAGAATCCAAATTACACCCCAGAGGACAGAGGAGGCAAGGGACAAAAACTCAAAACAGCTTTCAAAGTAGAAGTTTCGACCATGTGAGCCGCCATGTTGCGTACCAAATACAACATTAAACAGGAAGGATGTTGAATGCAGTTAAGCCGGTTCACCAAGCAGACTTCTGGGCAATTTACAGTACACACACACACACACACACACACACTTCAATTTACAGTCGTGCTCAGGACATAGTCTGTCCCTGGTTGTTATCTAAACGTGCGCACGCATACAAACACACACACAAACAAACAATCTTATCCTGGATCTTATGGTTTAAACTAAAACAAGCCTGAGGGACAAAAGTGCACAAGTTGGTGCAAAGACCAGCGCTACTATGGCCCTATAAAATACCTACAAACCCTCCTCAACACTCACCAAGTAGCAGCA